GATGCAGCCAATGCCACAGTATCGGAGGAGAGGGGAGAGAAATTGGATAATATAAGAATAAACCGAGAGGTGGAACTAAAAAAGGTTGTCGGTGCTCAAGGTAGATAAGTCACCCGGTCAGGACGGGATGTATCCTAGATCATTGAGGGAAGTAAAGGTGGAAATAACGGAGGCTCTGGCCACGATCTTTCAATCAGAGGACTGGAGGGTTGCAAATGTTACTCCCCTGTACAAAAAGGGACAGAGGGATAAACCTGGGAACTACAGGCCAGTCAGTCTAACGTCAGTAGTGGGGAAACTTCTGGAGACTATAATCCGGGACAAAATAAGTTTCACTTAGAAAAATATGGGTTAATAAAGGACAGTCAACATAGATTTGTTAAAGGCAAATCATGTCTAACAAACCTAACAGAGTTCTTTGATGAAGTAACGGAGAGGGTGGATGAAGATAGTGCAGTTGATGTAGTTTATATGGATTTTCAAAAGACATTTCATAAAGTGCCACATAAGAGACTTGTAAGTAAGATAGAAGCCCCCGGTATTAAAGGGACAGTGGCAGTGGATACAGAACTGTCTGGGAGACAGAAAGCAGAGAGTGGTGGTGAACAGTTGTTTCTCTGACAGGAGGAAGTGTGCAGTGGTGTCCCCCAGGGATCAGTATTGGGACCACTGCTGTTTTTGATCTATATAAATGACCTGGACTTGGGTACAGGGAGGACAATTTCCAAGTTTGCAGATGATACTAAGTGAGGAAAGTAGTAAACAGTGAGGAGGATAGTAACAGACTGCAAGAGGACATAGACAGACTGGGAAACTGGGCAGACACGTGGCAGATGATGTTTAATGTGGAGAAATGCAAAGTGATGCATTTGAGGAGGAAGAACGAGGAGAGGCAATATAAGCCGATGGTACAATCTTAAAGGGGTGAAGGAACAGAGAGACCTGGGGTTCATATAAGTAAATCGTTGAAGGTGACAGGACAGGTAGATAACGCTGTTAAAAAAGTACACTAGGCTTTATAAACAGGGGCATAGAATACAACAGTCAGGAAGTTATGATGAACCTTTACACTGGTTAGGCCTCAGTTAGAGACTGTGTTCAGTTCTGGGCCCCACACTTTAGGAAGGATGTCAAGGTCTTGAAGAGGGTGCAAAGGACATTGACCAGGATGGTACCAGGAATGAGGGACTTCAGTTATCAGGAGAGGCTCGAGAAGCTCGGATTATTCTCCTTGGAGCAGAGAAGGTTAAGAGGAAACTTAACAGAAGTTTTCCAAAAAAATTATGAGGGGATTTGATAAGAGTGAACAAGGAGAAACTATTCCCACTGGCGGGTGGGTCGGTAACCCGAGGACACCATAAAATAGTTATTAAAAGAATCAGAGGGGAGGGGAGGAGAAAGCTTTTCACAGAACAACTTGTTGGGATCTGGAATTCATTGCCTGAAAGCCTGGTGAAAGCAAATTCAATGGTTTTTAAGAATAGATAATTGTTGGCAGGGCTATGGAGTGGGGGAGTGGGGTTGATCAGGGCTATGGAGGGAGCGGGGGAGTGGGGTTGATCAGGGCTATGGGGAGAGAGCGGGGGAGTGGGGTTGATCAGGGCTATGGGGGAGAGAGCGGGGGAGTGGGGTTGATCAGGGCTATGGGAGAGAGGGGGGAGTGGGGTTGATCAGGGCTATGAGGAGAGAGTGGGGGAGTGGGGTTGATCAGGGCTATGGGAGAGAGTGGGGGAGTGGGGTTGATCAGGGCTATGGGGAGAGAGGGGGGAGTGGGGTTGATCAGGGCTATGGGGAGAGCGGGGGGAGTGGGGTTGATCAGGGCTATGGGGAGAGAGCGGGGGAGTGGGGTTGATCAGGGCTATGGGGAGAGAGCGGGGGAGTGGGGTTGATCAGGGCTATGGGGAGAGAGCGGGGGAGTGGGTTGATCAGGGCTATGGGGAGAGCGGGGGAGTGGGGTTGATCAGGGCTATGGGGAGAGAGGGGGGGAGTGGGGTTGATCAGGGCTATGGGGAGAGCGGGGGGAGTGGGGTTGATCAGGGCTATGGGGAGAGCGGGGGAGTGGGGTTGATCAGGGCTATGGGGAGAGCGGGGGAGTGGGGTTGATCAGGGCTATGGGGGGAAAGCGGGGGAGTGGGGTTGATCAGGGCTATGGGGAGAGCGCACGGGGGGGGAGTGGGGTTGATTTGGAAGCTCTTTTCAAAGAGTGGCACAGACATGATGGGCCGAATGGCCTCCTTCTGTGCTGTATAATTCTATGATTCTCAGAATACAGTGTATTCTGTGAAGTGCTTTGAGACGTCTCGAAGACGTGATAAGGCACTATATCAAATGCAAAGAATATTATCATTAGTATTATAGTATCTATTGCTTTTTTCTTCCATGACCTCAACATATCCTCCTGCGCTCAGGGCTCTCTTCCTCCCACAATTCTCAGAATTTGAACCGAAACCTCAGGTAACCAAACCTCCACCATTGCATCGATCTGTATCTTTGACTCCTTTCATCTGCTGTTGTCTAAGGTTCTCAACAATGAAATAAACAACAGCCAAAGTACTTAAGAACAATATTAAACAACAAATGGCACTTGTTACAGCGCCCTTCACTTTGGAAAGACGTCCCATGGCGCTGGACGATCAGGGGGTTTTGGACCCGAGCTGGGAGTTGGGGGTTAAGAGGGGTGGGGAGTGGGCTGGGGGTGGGGGTGGGAGTGTGGTCGAAGGTACGGTCGAAGACGAAGGTCCTTAGACGGGACTTGAAGGAGGCAATAGAGGGGATGAGGCGGTGGGATTGTGGGATAGAGTTCCAGAGTGAGGGGTCAGAGATGCTAATGCCTGACTGGCAATGGTGGGGCGGGGAGTGTGGGGAGACCTGAGGCAGGTCTGTTCAAGGTATTTGAGCTCTATGGAGATGACCTAAACGCACTTATTTCCTAGATGATTCGGAGCATTCCTGTTAGTTTCCCATCACACACTGGCTCTCCATCACACAGAGGATACAGTTCAAGATCCTGGTCCTCACCTTCAAAGCCCTCCATGGCCTTGCTCCCCGCCCTACCTCTGCGACCTCCTAACGCCTCACCATCCTGCCCACTCCCTTCGCTCAGCGGGCTCCTGCCTGCTTCACGTCCCCCGCCCACCTCGCTCGGCCCACTGTTGGCAGGCGGGCCTTTTGCCACTCCGTCCCCACCCTCTGGAACTCCATCCCGCAGTCCCTCCGCCTCGCCCCCTCCCTCGCCACCTTCAAGCCCCATCAAAAGACCCCCTCTTCGACCGCGCTTTCGATCTCCCTGTGCTGCAGAATTCCATGATTCTATGATTCCCGCTGGTCACTGTGGCAAGGCTTTGCCTCTCCTGTTTCGTAAGCTTTTTATTCTTGGAAAACCTGCCGCGTTTTACACTGACACGGAAGCCCGGAGTCCAGGCGGTCAAACAAATACAAAATACAAAATGACATTTACACAGAGCCCTCCACTTCAGGACGTCCCGAGGCGCTGGACAGGCAGGGAGTTTGGACCCGAGCTGGGGGTTGGGATCAGGAGGGGGCGGAGGGCAGGGAGGGTAAAGGGGTAGGAGTGTGACGGAAGGCGCAGTCGAAGAGGAGGCTCTTGAGACGGGCCTTGAAGGAGGCGAGGGAGGGAGCGGGACGGAGGGAATGTGGGATGGAGTTCCAAAGGGTTGAGGGCAGAGAGGCTGAAGGCCCAACCGCCGATGGTAGTGCAGGGCCGGGCGGGGAACGTGGAGCAGGTTGAGCGGAGGGAGCGGACAGGTTGCTATGGGGTCCACAGGTCACAGCTACACAGATATATATGTAAACCGGTCGTATATATATATACACAGCTTGAGCCATAATACACAGCCTCCCTCTGCTCTGGGCCACACTGACAGAACATGGACACTGTCAGGGAAATATCCAGATCTTTTTTTACGCTAAATCGCTCCGAGACTCTAACCTGCGTGAGGGGCGCGACATAAATGCAAGTTGGTGTTGTTGTAAAAGCCATCAAAAAATCAGTACAGTACAGTACAGTACAAGCATCAGGACTGACAAGACATAAGAACATGGGAGCTCGCTGGCGAAAGAAGACCAAGGTCCGTCTAGTTGACTGAGTCAGGGCTTCGTGGCACCTTAAGCCATTGAAGAAGTCTTCACGTTAGCCTCGCGGTCGAGCGTAGTGACTGTGAGTCTCGCAGGCGGGCCCGGCAGTCCATCCGCTTCTCTTTTTCCCCAATGGGCACCCGCGCGCACAGCCTCCGGTTACACATCTTGGACAACACGGCGCTCTCTCTCCCCACTCTCCCCCCTCCTCCCAGTCTCTGCCCCCCGCCCCCCCCACCCCCACTCCACACCCCCCCCCCCAGCCCTGCACTGGAGCGTCAGCATGGACTGGGGGCTCAAGAGTAGTCCTGACCTGGTCGTCACTGTCGGTTCAGGCTCACAGTCAACAAACACATTAAAAAAGGGGGTTTAAATCCACCCCGAAAGCTAACCGTCACCAAATGTGACTAAACGTGGGTGGGGGGGGGGGCGGCAGGAAGCCCCCGCGGGGGGGAGAGGTTGTGCGTCCTCTTGGCGAGACTCTGTACAGCAGTATTCCTGGCAGCGACTGTAACCGTCCGCCTGTGTCTGTGGATACACGTGTACATATTATTCCGTTCAAGACACCCCATATTCACAGCTTCGTAAATCCCTCGGAGGTCCATAGATGGTGCTGAGGGGGGAGTTGTCACTGGGGGCGCGGGTGGGGGGGCTGTCACCAGGGGTGGGGGGGGTGGCTGTCACCAGGGGGGGTGGGGGGTGTGACGAGGGTGAGGCTACCACAGGGGAGGACGGGTGAGGGGCTGTCACCAGGGATGGTGGGGGGTGACTGTCACCGGTGGGGGGGGGGGCGTGAGGGTGAGGCTGTCACCAGGGGGGGGGAGGGTGGGGAGGGACTGTCACCTGGGGGGGGGCGCGGGTGGGGAGGGGCTGTCACTGGGGGTGGGGGGGTGGGAGGTGGGGACACGGCCCTAGAAGGTGAAGGCGTAGACCACGCCCACCACCACGATGTTGCCGATGGTGGCGATGATCCCAATCCACAGCCACACGGCGTCGCTGGAGGTCGTGTTGGGCTCCTCCTCCCCCTCGGCCCCGGACTCCCCCGCGGCGGCGCCCGAGGAGTTAAACACGGAGAAGTCGGGGGTACACTCCTCATTCGGGGAGTCCAGGAACGCTCCAGTAATCACCGGGATCTGCCAAGACACACAGACGCACAGTTACTACACAGCTAGAACCCCTCCATCGCCCCCCCCCCGACCCCACACGCACTGACACCATCTCAAGAGGGTGCGTCTTGTCTCGCACAGTCACTACACCTCACGCTTCAGCCCCACCCCCGAGAGGTCTCGACCGACCCCCTGCCGAGACGCTGCCTAAAACCCTCCCAGGAAGCGATGGGCGGGACGTTACCGGAACGCGTAGTGACTGTGGTCTGCGGGCGAGTGGGCAAACGGCCCACGAGTTGAGAACCGATCTCGGTGCCGGCCTGGCGAAGGCGGGTAAGGCTCTGGCCTCTGCGAGTCAGGAAGTTACAGGGTTCAAACCCCACGTGTCCCGGTGTCCTGGCCAACAACTGCCCCCCAACGGGGACGCTGCCGTGTGCAATTGGCTGACGGGTTTCGCCCACAAAACACACGGTCACTCCACTTGACAGTATACCCACCCGGTGAAGCGCTTTGAGATGTCTCAATGACGTGATAAGGCATCGCATCGAACGCGAGGATTATTATTATTATTATTATTGGTATTTTTACGCGTCCTCCTGATGTGAGAGGGCTATTTGGGGTGTTGTTTGGGAGACGGCTGTGAGTGGAGCCGCGCTGCTCCTCACTCAGTCAGGCAGTCAGCGCTCACTCTCAGGGCTCAAGAAGATCAGCCAAATCCACACCCCGATCTCACAGAGTGAGAGTGTGTGAGTGTGTGTGAGAGGGGGTGTGAGGGGGGGGGTGAGTGTGAGGGGGTGTGTGAGGGGTGTGTGAGGGGTGTGAGGGGGTGTGTGAGGAGGTGTGAGGGGGTGTGGGATACGTGAGGGGTGTGAGGAGTGTGAGGGCGTGTGGGGGGGTGCGGGGGTGTGGGGGGTGTGAGGGGGTGTGGGGTATGGGAGGGGGTGTGGGGTATGTGAGGGGTGTGAGGGGGTGTGGGGGTGTGAGGGGGTGTGAGGGGTGTGAGGGGTGTGAGGGGGTGGGGGGTGTGAGGGGTGTGAGGGGTGTGGGGGGTGTGAGGGGTGAGGGGGTGTGAGGGGTGTGAGGGTGTGGGGGTGTGAGGGTGTGTGGGGGTGTGAGGGGTGTGAGCTGTGTGAGGGGTGTGAGGGGGTGTGAGGGTGTGTGGGGGGTGTGCGAGGGTGTGAGGGGGTGTGAGGGGTGTGAGGGGTGTGAGGGGTGTGAGGGGTGTGAGGGGGTGTGAGGGGGTGTGAGGGGTGTGAGGAGTGTGAGGGGTGTGATGGGGTGTGAGGAGTGTGGGGGGTGTGAGGAGTGTGCGGGGGATGTTGCTGATGTGTTTTGTTTCGTGGCTGCGTTTTGTGCAGCTTGCAAGGCGAGATCTTAGGCAAGTTTCATTACGCACACGCGGGCGCACGCACACACACGCGGGCGCACGCACACACACGCGCGCGCACGCACACACACACGCGCGCGCACGCAAACTCGCACCCGCAAACACGCACACCCGCCTCTGCTTCCCGGCAGTCAGCAGGAACCCGCTTGTTAGTCGATTGACCGATCGCTTTTCCGGGGTTAATAATGATCCCTTCGAGAAAATAATATTAACGACGTCAATAAATGGGTCAGTCACTTGCTTGCGGGGGTCGGGACGCTGCTGTGCGCAATCGGCTGCCGCGTTTCGCCCTCGAAATGCACAGTCGATTCGCTTCGCAGTCCGTTCCGGGCGAAGCGCTTTGAGGGACGTCTCGAAGACGTGATCAGGTGCTACAGAAAATGCAGGGATCATTATTGTCGCCGTCGTCGTTATTAAATGCTCCATCAGCGACCGGGAACGGGCAGGAAGTCTCCGGCGTCCATTCTCCTCAAGTAATGTGTCTGTCCAATTCCCTACGGCACCACATTAAGATGTAAATGTGAACGATAACGCCTCTCGTCAGACAGCAAACACACACACACACACACACACACACACACAGCCCCTCCGCTCCCTCTCTCCGACCTCACCTTTAAAGCCCTCCTCGCCCTTTCCCTCCCTCTCTCCCTCCTTCTCTCCCTCCGTGACCTATTAACACTGTTTGATGCGAATAATAATAATAATAATCCTTGCATTCGATAGAGCGCTTTTCACGTCGGGAGGACGTCCCAAAGCGCTTCACAGAACACACTGTAAAGTGAATTGACTGTATATTTGTGGGCCAACGCGGCAGCCAATTGCGCACAGCGACGTCCCACAAACAGTCGTGGGTTGAAAATGACCAATTTATTATTGTTTTGGGTTTGTGGAGGGATATTATTAGGCGTAAGTGAGTCTCTCGTGGCCAACACCCCCCACCCCCCCACCCCACTCCCGGAATAAATCTCGTCACTGCCTCCGCGGCTTGCTTGCTTTCTCCCCTTAAAATACGCAGTCACTACACTTGGCGGTAAATCCCGTGAAGCGCTCTGGGACGCCCTCCAGATGCGAAAGGCGCTACGACCAATGCGAGGCTTTTAATTGTTAGTATTTCGAGATGTAGATGCAATAAGTACATCCCCCCCCACCCCACACCCACCCACCCACACACCCACCCACACACCACCCCCACACCACCCCCACCCACCCACACACCCACCACCACCCACACACCCACCCACACACCACCCCCACACCATCCCCACCCAAAACCCACCCACCCACCCCCACCCCACACCCACCCACCCACCCACACACCCACCCACACACCCTGCCCGAGACTACAAGGTTTTAACCGAAATGCTGTTGGTAAATAACTGCGTGTCGGGGGTTATTGTGACGAGGATAAATGAGATGTGAAGCTAATTGAGGTTTTATTTATTCCTGCTTCGTGGCCAGATGTCCGCTCATCCATCAACGTCTGCCGGTCCCTTTGCAGAGGTCAGTTGGCTATCTGGGAAGGTCATCTCTCCCCCAATGTGTGTCTGAAGGCCGTCTGCCTGACCCCCTGATCAACCCCGATCTCTCACCTTCACTGCTGTCCATTACCGAGCGAGACCGCGGAGGGTGAGAGACGGGATTGATTGGATGTGTGTGTGTGTGTGTGTATCTGTGTGTGTATTTACGTGTGTACGTGTGTGTGTGCGCGCGTTACAACTGTATGTATTTGTGTACGTATCTATGTTTGCGTACGTGTCTATATGTGTGTGTGTCTATAATGGTGTGTGTATACGTGTGTGTATGTGGGGGCAATTGCGTGTGTACTCTCTTTCCCCATCTCTCCCTCTCGATTTCTCTCCCACTCTACGTCCATCTCCGCCTATTCTCTCTCTCTCTCTCTCTCTCCGTCTCTCTCGTTCCCTTTCTCAATGCCCTTTTCTCTCTTTGCCCCCCCCACCCCCACCCCCACCCCTCCCTCTCTCTCTCTTTATGGATAAAGAGCGCTTCTCCGAAAAGCAGAGCGGAAAGGAAAAAACATAACACGTTCGCCTAATGAACCCGAAAAAGAAGCCGGGGTTTGTTTGAGTGAGAAAGGAATGGTTTAGGGGTGAGGGCTCACATCAGCCGAACAAGAGAGAGAGAGAGAGAGAGAGAGGCGAAGGCCCGAACAAAGAGGATATTGGCAGCGAGAAGGACTGAAAGACACAGATACATAAAAGCATCTTGCGATCATTGTGCCGTTAAGTGGGGACTAAGTGCAGAGCCAGGCTGTCGAGCAGCTGTTCCCCCCACCACCCCTCACTCCCCCCCACCGCCCCGATTCTCCGTGATTTAGTGTCTCGAACGGCAGAATCCACGGGAGTAATCGCCAGCACGAGCTGGACGCTCCCGATAATAATACTCCCACCACTACTGCTGCTGATAGTAATAATCCTGGCGTTGGACCCGGCGCCTTATCGCGTCGGCGAGACGTCTCGCAGCGCTTCACGGGGCACTCTGTCTGGTCTAGTGACTGCGGGCGGAACGCAGCAGCCGATCGCGCCCGGCGACGTCCCCCACCAGCTGCCGTGGGTTGAGCGACCAAATTATTATTATTATTGTTGTTGGCTTTTGGAGGGTTTATTATTACCCCCGGAAAGTGAGGGGGAAGGCAGAGGGGCGCGCGCGCGTTAAACTCTCCGCGCAAATTACGAAGACCAGTCAATTGGACCTCTCCCGTCCGTTTATTTCTGGGGTTGGTTTTGAAAGGGGAAAGGGTTCTCTCTCGACCCCCCCACCCCCCACCCACCCCCCACTCCCACAGTATTGTGAATCAAGGCCAACCGGGTCCCATTTACATCCAGGCCATTAACTGCACGAGACAAGACACCCCGGAGGCAGCCAGAACCACTCTCTCTCTCTCCCTCTCTCTCTCTCTCTCGCTATTGATTCCCCCATTGAATTTTCTGTAGCTCAGGGGTTAGATAGACCCCTCGCCCCGTAGGCCAGAGGACCTGGGTTCGATTCCTGGGCAGGACAGGTCAGGGCGAAATGTTGGGCAAGTTTCCTTACTCCAGCACCACCCGCCCACCCCCCACCCGCCCCCACGCACACACACACACACACACACGCCTCTGTTTACCAACAGTAAGTAGGAACCTGGTTGTCAGTCAACTTGGGGATCGCTTTCCGGGGGAAATAATAATCCCTTCAAAAAAGAAAAAAAAATTGGTCACTTCGATCCACGGGCGTTTGTGGGGACGCAATTGGCCGCGTTTCGCCCACAAAGTGCGCAGTCACTTCACTTCGGTGTGTCCTGTGAAGCGCTTTGACGCGGTGAGGCGTTACATCAGAGGCAAGCGCATTGCGGGTCTAACATACGGTATTAATCCCACTGGAAATCCCGTGTTTCCCCGTCGGAACGACACTCGGGAACTTAGATGGCGCTGGAGGAAACCTCGCCAGGTTGACGGGATGTGTGTGTCCTATTTCCGGGAGATTCCCACCCCCCCCACCCGCCCGCACCGCCCTCACCCACCCCCACCCCCCCCCACCCATTTCCCCATCCGGTGAATTCCCGTCGGTGAAGCCACGAAGACTCTGTGGCGGGTTTACAAGAGAAGTCGTTTGCGCTTTTTCTTAACACTTTTCCCCCCCCCCCCCCTATTCTTTTTATCCGCGAGAAAGCTCCGCGGGAAACAGCCCGAGAGAAACGGCGCTCACCGGCAAAAACTCAGCTGTTCCACTCGCTTTCGCTCGAAGAAGAGGGTTCTCCGCAAATGTACTTTTTCCGTTTTAATTTTATACAAAGGTTTTGCCCGCTGTATCGCTTTTGTAATGACGGCATTATCCCCACCTCTGGGTTTCCTCGTTCGGTCTCACACAAAAGAAAAATAGATATACGAGCAACTTAAAAAAACAACACACACTTGTTGCGTGCGCGAGCACACACGCACACGCGGTACTTGCACGCACACATACGCACGCGCGCAGTACTTGAACACATACACACACACGCACACACAGTGTGTGAACATCCACGCACACACTTATGCACACACACACACACATACACACACACACACACTCGGGCACGCGCACACGCTTGGCACATGCACACGCGCGCAGGCACGCGCGCACACACTCACTCACGCACGGACACGCGCGCGCGCGCACGCACACACACGCACAGCAGCCAGTATGTGCCTCAAACGTGAGGTAAGTTTCCTTTTTCTCCACAGGTTTCTCTACATTTAACAGCTCCAGTTCGCTTGTGATGGGGGGGGGGTGGAGGTGATTTGGGTGAGGGAGGGAGGGAGGGAGGGAGGAAGGGAGGGAAGGAGGAGGGAGGGAGGGTGTGTGTGTCTCTTGTTTTTGGAACGCAAGGCCTTTTGCGACGAGATCGCAGTGCGGGCAGGGGCTGCTGAGCTTCACGGTAGGTTGAAGGACGGACGAGTTCCAGATCAGACTGTCTCTTGTCAATGGGAGATCCCGTCTCCATTGCTCCTCTCTGTGCCAATGTCCCCTGGCGTGGCTGGAAACCTGAAAAGCAGTTAACAAATCCATATCGATTCCCACCGTCCGCCACGCAATGCAATACCAAGTGACACTGACGCACGGCGGCTTTCGAGCCGGGAGGACGGCCCGAGGCGCTGGACAGTCAGGGATTTTGGACCTGAAGGGAATCATAATCCCTTTACGGCGACTTATCACAAAGCTCAGTTGCCTCCGAGGGCTTCATGGGACACGCTGTAAAGTGGATCGAGTTGTGCGTTTTGTGGGCGAAACGCGGCAGCCAATTGCGCCCGGCAACGTCCCCACAAACAGCCGTGGGCTGAGCGTCCGGGTCATTTATTTGTTTGTTTGGTTTTTGGAGAGGATTATTGCCCTCGGAAAACGATCTGCCAATCAACCAGCCTGCGGGTTCCTACTGACCGCCGGGTAACCAGAGGGGTGTCTGTGTGTGTGTGTGTGGGGTGGGGGGGGGGGAGAAAGGAAAGTTGCCCAGGGTTTCGCCCTGACCTGACCTGACCCGCCCGGGAATCGAACCCGGGTCCTCTCGCTTGCGAGGGCCGACAGGCCCTGATATCATTGTCTGGCCAAGCGTTTCCGCTGCTTGTCCAGCTAGGACCACCCTCTCCATTAGTGAGTCAGTTAGTTAGTCAGTCAGTCAGTCACTTAGTTAGTTAGAGCTTTGGCTGCAGAGTTAACAGGAGCTGAGGGGAGGATTCCCTGCCCCCAGTGACTGGTCGGCCCTTTCTGGTCCGGAGAGAGGAAGAGAGAGAGAGACAGAGAGATAAGAGAGAGAAGATGCTCAATGGGACAGAAAAGAAACAATCCACTCCTGGAGGTACTTACTTCCTTAGCCTCTGGCTCCATCGTTGAGGTTACATATAATGCCACTGTCCTTCAAGGCCCATATTCATGCCCATTCCACCTATCTGTCCTAAAAGGGAGTCAAGACACACACCGGACCAATATCATACAATAACAATAATAATAATCCTTGCATGTGCGCACGTGTGTGTGTACTTGTGTGTGTGTATCTATGTCTGTGTGCGTACATTTGTGTGTATGTGTGTGTCTGTATATGTGTATATATACACATATGTGTATGTGTGTTTGGGTGACTGTGTAACAGGTATAAGCTACACAAAGATACACGGAATAAAACTCTATTTGATCCAACTAGTCATTGCCAGTGCCTACACATCAGACGAGCATTTGTATCCGGCCTATTGACTGTGAAGTGTAGTGACTGTGTTTTGTGCAGGTGGACGATGAAGATGGTGATACGTACCTGGTGCCCGAATGGCCATGTGCTGCTGTCCATCCATGACAAACCCTCCCAACGACTGGCCGTCCGGACTATAAGAACCTCCTTGGCCAATTCAGGAAGGAGGAACATAATAATAATAATTATGATTATAATTGTCATTCTTCCATTTGATACAGCGCCTTATCACGTCGTTGCCAACACGGAACGAATTCATCTCCTTAACACGGGAGTGATTCACACAGGAAACTTTTCCGGTTATTTGGGACCTATTTTCAGCGCAACGGGAACGTGTAACATATAATAAGAACCCTCGCATTTGATACGGTGCCTCGTTACGTCTTCGAGACGTCCAAAAGCGCTTCACAGGATATACCGTAAAGTGTAGTGACTGTATATTTTGTGGGAGAAACGCGGCAGCCAACAAGCAGCTGTGCATTGATCATGGTTCCTACTCGCTGCTGGTAAACAGAGGCGTGTGTTTTTTTGGAGTAAGGAAACTTGCCTAAGGTTTCTCGCTGACCCGCCCGGGTATCGAACCCCTCACTTGAGAGGCGAGCCCGCTAACCACTACAGGCGGAGGTGGTAAGTAGAACCCGGTAACAATCCCTTCAAGATAAATAAACAGAATAATTTGGTCGATAAATAAACAGAATAATTTGGTCGCCGTAATCCACGGCTGTTTGTGGGGACGTCGCTGGGAGCAATTGGCTGCCGGGTTTCGCCCACAAAATATGCAGTCACTGCACTTTACAGTATATCCTGCGAAGCGCTTTGAGACGAGTCAAAGACGTGATAAGGCGCTGTATGCAACGATTATTATTATTATTATTATTATTGATCAATGACCGAGAGCAGGAGGATGGAGGGGAAATAAAAGTCTCAAACCCACGCGAGGAAATTAGCGACGTATTCAACTCGTACCTGTGCGGTTCGATTGGTCAATCATTGGCTGTACAATTCTCCGTCTTGCATTAATAAACCTGGAAAAGAGAAGGCACGGGGTGGAGAGGCTCAGTTGTTAACGCTCTTGCCTCCAGATCACGTAGCGTAGGGGTTAGACCCCTCGCCTCGCAAGCCAGAGGACCCGGGTTCGGTTCCCGGGCGGGTCAGGAAACTTATTCAAGTTTCCTCCCTCCACACACGCCTCTGTTTCCCGGCGTCTTTCACGTCAGGAGGATGTCCCGAGGCGCTGGACGGTCAGGGATTTGGACCCCCAGCTGGGGGTTTGGATCGGGAGGGGGTGGAGGGCAGGGAATGTGGGGTGGGGGGGGGGGGAGTGGGAGGGTGACTGAAGGCACGGTCGAAGAGGAGGTTCTTGAGACGGGTCTTGAAGGAGGCGAGGGAGGGGGGAGCAAGGCGTTGGAGGGCTTTGAAGTCAGACAAGCCACGTGGGCAGCCATTGAGCCAACGCATTTTGAGGACTGAAAACACGAGGTGAAGCCTTGCCTTTGTCTCCTCCTCCTCTCTAGTCATCGCTGAAGGGCTTTTCCCTAAGTGCGCGATGGGGCCCTTTGATCTCCCGTGGCCTGAAAGTGCCTTTAAACAGCCTGGGAAAGCGCTGACAGTGATCTATCTCGTGCCCTGTGCCCACAGACATGTCCAGCCCTTTCATGCTCGGCTCTGAGGCAATTGTACAGCAACTCTTAGGCCTCAGGGCCTCGAGGTCTGATGGAAACCGACCCTGTTTGGTACTGACTCCAGGGAGGCTGACCTCAATCCCTCTGAGTACACGCAAAGAGGCAGAATTCTCCCTCTCTCTAGCTCTACTTCTCTCTCTCTCTCTCCTCTCGCCCACAAAACACACGGCCAATACACTTTACAGTGCATCCCGTGAAGCTCTTCATGACGTCTCGTGCATCTGATCAGGCGCTGTATCGAACGTAAAGTTTATTCTTATTAATGTTTCTCTCTCTCTCTCTCTCTGGCGTTCTCTCTCTGTCTATAACACACTCTCCCCCACGCTCTGCCTACTCCACGTTCCCCCCCCCGCCCCGGCCCGTCCCAGACTCCATCCCACGCCCTCTCCTCACACTCCACCGATTACTCACCAGTTGTTCACCTGCAGGATGGTGAGCCCTGTGTCCAACGCTAACTGTTTCTTCTGCTCCTCGGATGGGTACGGATGCTGAAAGACATCGAGAGGCGAGAGAGGGGAAGCGAGAGAGAGAGAGAGAGAGAGAGAGAGAGAGTGGGGGTGGGGGAGAGAGAGGGCAGGGTCATGTCACAGCACCCATTACATGTTCCCGTCGCTCAGTGGTTAGGTCGCTCGCCTTGCGAGCGAGAGGACCTGAGTTCGATTCAGGGCAAAACAGGGGGTCACTGAAAGGGAGGGAGGGACGGAGGGAGGGGGTGAGATGGAGGGTGTAAATGCTTTACCCAGAGTTTCACTCTCTCTCTACAACAAGAAGAAGATGACATGTGTATAGCGCCTTTCGCGTCGGGAGGACGTCCCAAGCCGCTGGACAGTGTACAGCATTTCAGACCCGAGCTGGGGGGGGGGGGAGAAGGGGATGGGGGGGTGACCGATGGCATTGGTCGAAGAGGAGAGTCTTGAGGCAGGGCTTGAAGGAGGCTAAGGAGGGGGCAAGGCAGAGTGATTGGGGGATGGAGTTCCAGAGGTTGGGGGCAGAGTGGCTGAAGGCTCTCCCGCCAATGGTGGGGCGGGGGGTGTGGAGCAGCCAGAGACGGCTGAGCGGAGGGAACGGGCGGGTTGGTAGGGTGGGTAACCCATATATATAGGTTAGTCCCTAACCCCTTCAATGTTCTCAGTCGCGAGCACATCTGTAGCACGTTTGTGAGCGCGTGTGTGTCCAACGTCTTGACGTCAGGGGCTTTGAGCTCACAATCTCGGCCGACTCTCCAGTGCAGTCCTTATCAATAATAATTTTCCTTTATCACAGTGTCGAGACATCTCAAAGGGCTCATAATAACAATAATAATACAATCAGAATCCTTGCATTTAATACAGCGCCCGATCAAGTCGTTGAGACGCTTCACAAGATACACTGCAAGGCGTAGTGACTGTGCGTTTTGCGGGCGACAGCCGATTGCGCCCAGCGACGTCCCCCACCAACAGCCGTGGGTCGAGTGACCTTTTTTTGTGAGTGGGGGAAGAAACTCGAGGGAGAGAGCTCCAGAGTTTCAGGGAGCAGTGGCTGAAGGCGTCCTTCGAACGCAAAGATTATTCTATTTATTACTCAGAGAGCCGGAGTCGGCCTGGAAATAATCTAATCAGCGTCTCCCGCCCCGGGGCTGGGTGTAGAGTTGCCATGGAGCACCCCAAGGGATGAGGTGTTTGCATCTGAAAGCTTCACAGCCAAACTCCCCGTCTCCTCCGGCAACCGCACGAGTTAGAATAAATACGAGCGAACAGGAAGAGGGGACGCGTGTCGGCTGTCTCATCTTCGGACATTAAAGGGTATCCCACTGAGCTGCTCTGGTGCGGAGTTTGGAAGCTCACTAATGGGAACACAGATTAAGAGAGACAGATTCTCTCTCGCCGGCCTTTTTTGTGAAGTTTGCTTTACCCGGAGTTTCACGATCCTGTTTCGTACTCTGCGCTGATCAGCACCTGGAGTCTGTGAAGCTCTGGGGGGGGTTTGAGCCCTCGGCTCGGAAGCCAGAGGCACCCGGGTTCGACTCCTGGGAGGGTCAGGTCAGGGCGAAACCTTAGGCAAGTTTCCTTACTCTCGATTGGCAGATCGCTATTCCGTGGGGGTAGTAATCCTTTCAATAAATAAATAAAAAGAATAATTTGGTCGCTCAATCCACGGCTGTTTGTGGGGACGTCGCTGCCGCGTTTCGCCCGCACAATATCCGGTCAATTCACTTCGCTGTACATTCCGTGAAGCCCTCCGAGACGTCTCAAAGGCGTGGTCATTATCCCCGGAAAAGTCATCCGCCAATCGACTAACAACCAGGTTCCTACTCACTGCTGGTAAACTGAGACGCCGTCCAGGGTGGAGGGCGCTATATAAATCCAATTTTTTGCTGTTGTTGTGCGTGCGGCGTAAGGAAACTTGCCTAAGGTTCCACCCTGACCCGCCAGGGAACCGAACCCGGGTCCTCTCGCTCGCGAGGCGAGCGCGCCAACCGCTAAACCACGGGACTCCGCCTGATCACGTCGTTGAGACGTCTCAAAGCGCTTCACAGAATATACCGTGTCGTGCAGTGACTGTGTATTTTTACGGGCGAAAAGCGGGAGGCAACTCCGCGCAGCAGCCTCCCCACAAACAGGAGTGGATCGAGGATTTATTTCGAAGGTATTATTACCTTTTCGATCGACATTGAAGTGGACAATGGAATAAAAGCGTCTGCCCATCCCCTAACGAAGAGCTACAGAGATCTAATTACAAAGGGGACGGTTTGTCTTTTCATTCCTCTGTGCGTTTCCTTTTGAGCGATCGACAATAGGCGGCTGATGACTGTAAGGGGCCTTTTCATTGTGAAGTGAGAGAGAGAGAGGGGGGGAGCGCGCGCGAGAGAGAGAGAGAGAGAGAGAAAGAAAGAAAGAAAGAAAGAAAGAAAGAGAGAGAGAGGCTTTTCATGGCTTTTGTGGCCTCTCGGTTGCTTATCTGACAAGCACATGATGGATGAGGACCAAAGCCCTCTGAGTCTCTCTCATACACACACACACACACACACCAAGGCCCTGTGTTAAAGGGTTCTTGACAGCCGGGTGATGAATGAGTGTTGAAGAAAGGTTAGGCCTGTGTGCAGACCGCTGGGCCTGATAGTGAGACAGGCCAAGGGGGAGAGGGAGAGGGGGGGGGCTCAGGTTAACACCTTGATCTGCCTTGCCCCCCACCCTGGTTCCCATTGCAAGTAAACAGCAGGCCTGCGGAGAGAGGCCGGTGCAGCTGTGACCTGACATGAACCCAAACCCATGGCCTTGTTCTGCTCCGAGTTATCGCTGCCGCTTCGTTTTGCCCCACAAAACGCACAGTCACTACACTTGACGGTCCGTCCTGTGAGGCGCCTTGAGGCGTCTCGAAGACGTGATAAGGCACTATATCAAAGGCAAGGATTGTTATTATTGTTATATTGTTGTTGGCTCTCACTCTCTAATTATTATTGTTACTCCTGATTTATTCTGGACTGAATGGAGAGAGAAAAAACACAGAGAGAGAGGGAGGGAGAGAGAGAGAGAGAGAAAGAGAGAGAGAAACAGAGGGAGAGAGAGAGAGGGGGAGGTCAGAGATTGGTGTGACTTTAATAATAATAATAATCCTTGCATTTGATGTAGCGCCTTATCACGTCTTCAAACCGCTTCAGAGAATATACTGTAAAGTGTAGTGACTGTATACTTTGTGGGCGACATGGAGTAAGAGTGGGGGGAGTGGGACTAGTTGGTGGCTCTTTCAAAGAGCCGGTCCAGGCACGAATGGCCTCCTTCTGCGCTGTAGGATTCCATGACTTACCGCGAGTCACCGGGTAAGAAGGACAGAGGTTGGTCACCGTGAGTTACCGGGTGATAAGGTGACAACACTCACCGTGAGGTGTTGGAAGAGCCAGGCCCTCATGATGTTGGTGGCCACTTTGGGGAAGATGCCTCGCTTTTTCTGGCGCCTCTTGTCCTTGTCGAACTCGTCCTCATCGCCCGTGCCCGGAGACGCCAAGCTGTTGTCCAACCCGTCTCCTGTGGGGGGAGAAAGAGAGAGAGAGAGAGAGAGAGAGAGAAAGAGAGAGGAGAGACACACCCACACACACTGTTAGTGATGTTGACGGGCAACAACAACATTGACAACACGTGAGATTCACACGGAGCCTTTCACGTCGGGAGGACGTCCCCTGGCCCTGGACGGTCAGGGATTTGGACCCGAGCTGGGGGTTGGGATCAGGAGGGTGGGAGGGGGGGGTGTGGATGGCGGGGAGGGTGGGGGTGGGAGGGTGACCGAAGGCGCGGTTGGTTGACGAAGAGGGTCTTGAGACGGGCCTTGAAGGAGGTAGCGAGGGAGGGAGCTCCAGAGGGCGGTCACTCCCCAGGTCAGGGTTAGAGACGCAGTAAAGCTCCCTCTACACTTAGCGTCCACACTCCCAGATCAGCTACAGTATAGGATAGCTTTCTCTTACCCTCTCTCTCTGTGTCTGCCTCTGTCTCTCAGTCTCTCCCCATCTCTCCCTCCATCTCGCTCTCTCCCTCTCTCCCCCTCTTTCCTCATCTCAGTCTCTCCCCATCTCTGAGACTCTCCCACCCCATCTCTCCTTCCCCCTCCTTCTCTCGGAATAAGATAAACACACATGGCTGACGGGGCCACCTATTGCTAATGTATAATGTCCTCTCTCTTGCCCAATCACAGCTTGGACGCCTTCCCTTCCTCCGGATTAATTTTGTCTTTAATAAAAATAAATCAGATTCCCCAGAGCTGCGTTCTGTTTCCTCTCTACCCTCGGGCAAGAGAACGGCTTAAAAGGGCTGCCTTCAGGGCAAGTAAATAATGCAGCTCCTTAGTCTCCGCTCCCAGCCCGGCTCGTCACGGTGTCAAATCCCTCGTCGCCACCCACCCACCCCCTCGCTCGCTCCCACCACACAACCAACTCCCCCCACCTCGGGCAAGTTTCCTTACTCCCCCCTCCCACACACACACACCCACACACACCCACACCCACACACAAGCCTCCGGTTACACAGCAGTTACCCCGGTTGTTTAATCGACTGGTGGATCGCTTTTCACGGGGGTAATACTTCCATCAAAAAAATAAATATTAGTAATGAATCGGTCGCTCAATCCACCACAGTTTGTGGGGACGCCGCCGGGCGCAATTGGCCCACACAATATACAGTCACTGCACTTTACGGCATATCGTGTGAAGCGCTTTGAGACGTCTCGAAGAAGTGATCGGGCGCTGTACCAAATCAAGGATTATTAAAAATAGCAACATAGGAACAGGAGGAGGCCATTCAGCCCCTCGAGCCTGTTCTGCCACTTGATTAGATAATAGCTGATCTGCACCCCCCTTTGCCCCGTACCCCTTGATCCCCTGACCTAACCAACATCTAGTCACCTCAGTCTGGACAATGTGAATGGATTCACCCATAATCCACAGCCTTTCGGGGGAAAAGATAGAGAGAGATTTCCAGATATCTATTCCCCTTCCCCTCCCCCCCTCCCCCCCGGGAATCGAACCCGGATCCTCTCACTTGTGGGGCGGGTGGTCTCACCACTACATTGCGGGACTCCATCATTGTCCACAACTACATTATGTGGTAACAGCTCATCGTCTGGAACTCAATCCAGGGAGCGTTTCGAGAACGAGGAGCAAAACAGGGGCAGAAAGAGCGAGAGAGAGAGAGAGAGAGAGAGAGCGGCACGAGAGAGAGATAGATAGAGCGAGAGAGAGAGAGAGAGAGAGAGAAGAGAGAGACGGTATCTAAGACATCAAACCGCCCCATCATCAGTTAGTGCCCAGGCTTTTTTGTGAAGTGCCTGAAGGCAGAGAGCGAGCAGAGGAGCAGTGATTACATCTGGTGAGGATCTCACTTTGTGAATGCTGCCTAATGAGCCCCTAATCCATCTGTCATTCCCCAGAGAATCTCGTCTGCGTCCCAATCCAGCCAACTTCTTCCCCCCCCCCCCCCCCACACACAACCACCACCCACCCCTCACCTCTCCCCTCTCCTCTCCTCTCCAGGGGTAATAATCCCTCCGAAATAAAAAAAAATTGGTCATTCAATCCACGGCTGTTTGCGTGGGGGACGATACTGGGAGCAATTGGCTGCCGCGTTTCACCCGCGAAATACACAGTCACTGCACTTTACGGTGTATCCTGCGAAGCGCTTGGAGACGTGATAAAGACGCTGTATCAAATGCAAAGATTGTTTTATTATGATTATTATTATTATTATTATATACGGGGTGACCAAAAAGTTACGATACCATTAAAAAATGTTGAATAGGTCTTAAAGAAACGCTGATATTTTTGTTTGTTTTTTTAGATAATACGGTGGATATCATGACTTAAAATTAATTTCTCCACATTACCTTCAGGAAACGGGAGATCGCAAGCTCCCTCGGAGTATAAATTAACAATGAGGGGTGAATTCTCCTCCTTTATTCCTTTAATTATTCTCCGATACTTCATTGATTACCCTGTGAATCTCGGCTATGTTTAAAAGCATCGGTGGAAACCGGGCGTTTATTCATAGAATTAAACAACGCAGAAGGAGGCCATTCGGCCCATCGGGTCTCCACTCTCCCGCTCTCTCCCCATAGCCCTGATCAACCCCACTCCCCCCACACTCTCCCCATAGCCCTGATCAACCCCACTCCCCCGCTCTCTCCCCATAGCCCTGATCAACCCCACTCCCCCGCTCTCTCCCCATAGCCCTGATCAACCCCACTCCCCCCACACTCTCCCCATAGCCCTGATCAACCCCACTCCCCCGCTCTCTCCCCATAGCCCTGATCAACCCCACTCCCCCGCTCTCTCCCCATAGCCCTGATCAACCCCACTCCCCCGCTCTCTCCCCATAGCCCTGATCAACCCCACTCCCCCGCTCTCTCCCCATAGCCCTGATCAACCCCACTCCCCCGCGCTCTCCCCATAGCCCTGATCAACCCCACTCCCCCGCTCTCTTCCCATAGCCCTGATCAACCCCACTCCCCCGCGCTCTTCCCATAGCCCTGATCAACCCCACTCCCCCGCTCTCTCCCCATAGCCCTGATCAACCCCACTCCCCCGCTCTCTCCCCATAGCCCTGATCAACCCCACTCCCCCGCGCTCTCCCCATAGCCCTGCAAACTTGTCCTCCCCAAATAATGATCTGCTTCGCTTAAAAGCTGTTACGGAATCGGTTCCCACCGGCCTTTCAGGCAATGCATTTCAGATCCCAACAACTCGCTGTGTGAAGACATTTCTCCTCCCCTCCCCTCTGCTTCTTTTAACAACTATTTTAAATCAGTGTCCTCGGGTTACCGACCCACCCAGTTCCTCCTTGTTCACCCTATTGAATCCCCTCATCATTTTGAAAACTTCTATCGAGTCTCCTCTTAACCTTCTCTGCTCCAAGGAGAATAATCCAATGTTAATTGGAGCTGTGCTGGAGCTCAGTCAGTCTCGTTCTCTCTCCAGCTATCAGCAATCCCCAACACACACTTCTGACACCCGATATTTTCCTCCGATAAATCTTTAATGAGCCACAGACAGGGCACGCTGAACCTTTTTCAGGTGAAGCAAAATTAAACCAACTTCCTCCTTAGTCGGAGTTATTGTTTTTCCCAAAATAACCAAATATTGTTATTTTGGAAAAATATCAGATACACATCTCCATATCTGTGAAGAGATACTGTCATTTTGTGGGTGAAACGCGGCGGCCGATTGCGCACAGCAGCGTCCCGCAAATGTTTGGTCGTGGTTGAGTGACCAAATTTATTACTGTTATTTCTCCCACAAAATATACAGTTGATTCACTTTATAGCGTATCCCGCGAAGCGCTTTGAGACGTCTCAAAGACATGAGAAGGTGTTGCATCAAATGCCAGGATTACCCTTATTATTATTATTGTTTTTTGAAGGGATTATTACCCCCAGGAAAGCGATCTGCAAATGGTCCAACAATCAGGTTCCGACTGACTGCTGGCGTGTGGGTGGAGTACGGAAGCGTGGCTAAGGTTTCACCCCGCCCGCTTGCCCACCCGGCCGGCTGGGAATCGAACCCAGGTCCTCCGGCTTGCGAGGTGAGGGCTCTGAACACCGAGCTACAGGAGTGAGAGATGTTGAGGGCGACTGAGGTGGCGCAGAAGGACCGAGGTACCTTGTTCGCTGCAGTTGTCACCGCTCTGAGAGGCGAGCCCTCCGCTGGACGGTCCGGGGGTCACTGAGCGTGCAGACCCCGTCTCGTCATGATCTCTGTTCCAATGATTCTGCGGAGAGAGATAAGTCACCGCGAGCTTCAGTTCAGTCCGGCCGTAAAAACACACAGTCACTACACTTCACAGAGCATCCTGTGAAGCGCTTCGGGACGTCTCGAAGACCCGATGAGGCGCCGAAGAAAATGCGTGGAGCGCTTTCTGGGGGGAATAATCCTTTTAACCCCCCCCAACCCCCCCACAAAAACCACACTCAATCCATCACTGCTTGTGGGAACGCTGCTGTGCATAAATGGCTGCTGCGTTTCGCCCACAAATATACAGTCACTACACTTTACAGTGCATCCTGTGAAGCGTTTTGAGACGTCTCAACGACGTGATAAGGTGCTGTATCGAATGCAACGATTATTATTATTATTATTCTTGGTGAGGATTCCATGGTCTCCCCTGTACACGCCTGTGTTTATCAGCAGTCAGTAGGAACCCGGGTTGTTAGACGATTGGCGGATCGCTTTCCGGGAGTAACAATCCCTTCAAATAATAATAATTATAATAAGTTGGTCACTCAATCCACGACTGTTTGTGGGACACTGCTGTGTGCAACTGGCTGCTGCTTTTCACCCACAGTCACTACACTTTACAGTATATCCTCTGAAAGCGCTTTGAGACATCCGGCAAATAAAGATGAACGCAAGGAGCATTATTGTTGCTTAAGATCCCACGGTCTCCCCTGTACGTGACGTCGGTTGGAGTGTAAGAGGCTGTAAAAAGATGGAACAGGATGTGTGTTTCGGTTGAGCTGAAAGAGCCCTTGATTTGGGGCTTAGAGATGCCGTGACCAGGTTAAAAAGGGGAGGTCACGCGCGCACACACACAGGGAATTGTTTTCAGACGCTGGTTAGGGTTAAAGTGCTGGTGCCTCGACCTCCAAAACCCCTCTGTTGTTCCCGTGCAGAGAAGTTAAGCGCCGTATTACACCAGAGCTGCTCGCGCGCCGCCTGTGATAGAATGCAACTGTGTAATGCTCTTAATGGGATTAGCGGCATTCAACTCAAGGATGCTTGTGGAGTCCTGTAGCTCAGTGGTTAGAGCCCTCGCCTCGCTCGCAAGAGGACCTGAGTTCAATTCCCGGGCGGATCAGGGAGAAATGTTAGGCAAGTTTCCTTATGCCGCACACACACACACACACACACACAACACACACACACATACAACACACACGCGCCCCTGTTTTCCAGCAGTAAGTAGGAACCCGGTTGTTAGTCGATTGGCGGATTGCTTTTCCGGGGGTAGTAATCCCTTCCAAACAAAAATGAAAAACTGATGATAATAATGATGATTTGGTCACTTCAATCCACGGCTGTTTGTGGGGACGCTGCTGTCCGCAATGGGCTGTCGCGTTTCGCCCACAAAATACTCAGTCAATTGACTTTACAGTATGTTCTGTGATGCGCTTTGAGAAGTCTCGAAGACGCTGCATCGAATGCAAGGATTATTATTATTATTATAAGTTATGAAGCTCTTTTGGCTAATATGGGCAACTGAACTGAAGTTCTCTCGTTCTCTTTCTCTGTACAACACAAACTTAATCCAATGGATCAATGCGTCACAGGAATATTCTATTCAGGTGCAACCGAAAGTCGTTTGGGGTTCTGCATCGTTATTTGGTCTAAACGTTGAACCTCTCAGAAAAATCGCTGACTTTAAGATGTTGAATTTGCAGCGATCAAAGGTCCTGTCTTCCAACCCTGTGTTTTTTTTCCCTGTTCCGACACAAAAGGTTTTCTTTCTCGTGTGGGAGGGTTGCAAAGGCCTTAATGTTGTTTGTTTGCCTGGAGGCTCTGAATGAGAGGACATGACATTGTGGAGTCCTGTAGTGGTTAGAGCACTCGCCTCGCAAGCGAGAGACCTGGGTTCGATTCCCGGGCGGTGTGAAACGTTGGGCAAGTTTCCTTACTCCGGACGCCTCTGTTTACCAGCGGTAAATAGGAAGGCGCTTGTCGGATCCCTTTTCCGGGGGAATAATCCCTTCAAAAAAATAAAAATAACTGTTGACTTTGATCCGCGACTGTCTGTGTGCGGACGCTGCTGTGCACAAATTGGCTGCCGTGTTTCTCACACGCAATATACAGTCACTACACTTTACAGGGTATCCTGTGAAGCGCTTTGAGACGCCTCTTGAAGATGTGATAAGGATCCGGGGGTCAAATAATTATTATTATTATATTTTTTGAAGGGATTATTACCCCCGGAAAAGTGATCCGCCAATCGACTAGCACCCGGGTTCCTACTTACTGCTGGTCAGGTGTGCGTGTGCGTGTGTGTGTGCGTGTGTGTGCGTGAGTGTCTGTCTGTCTGTGTCTGTGCGGAGTAAGGAAACTTGCCTAAGGTTTCGCCCTGACCCGAAGCTCACAGTAGTTGTGATTTCAGGCATCGACACTCCTGCGCCGGCAGCTTTATCTCTATCCTTTAGGAGACGGCTTTCTTTGTTTCTCTCCCCGAACAAATAAATGTCCCAGACACAGTCTAATCTACATGAGCAAAGCTCAATAATTCATGAGCTTCAGCAATCTCCAGCAAAGAGATCCGCAGTTTACTGGGGAGAGGGAATCACGTGGATGAGGGAGAGGGTTTATACTCCCAAACTGGGAAGGGTGAGGGTGGGGGGTGGGGGGGGGGAGGTAAGCAGGGACTCCTAGGAGCTGAACTGGCCCCAAGGTGACATGTTTGGCCACAGAAAGTCAGAATTGACACCCCCACCTCTCTGTGATGGTCTCCAGTCCCCGGTTCCTGAGCCGGGAGGGGTCGCGGTGTCCCGGGGCACTCACTGCTGGTGGCAGCACAGCCCGGCCGGGCTCCTCGGCAGGACCTGGAAGGGTTGACCAGTCACTGGGGGCAGGAAATCCTCCCCCTCAGCTCCTGGTAACCCCACAGCCAAAGCCCCAACTAACTAACTAACTAACTAACTAACTAACTAACTAACTAACTAACTAACTAACTAACTAACTAACTAACTAACTAACTAACTAACTAACTAAACCAACTAACTAACTAACTAACTAACTAACTAACTAGCGGGGAGGGGGGTCCTAGCTTCGTAAGCAGCGGGAAAGCTTGGCCAGACAGTCCCTTCCACTCGCCCCTTCCCTCGCCTCCTTCAAGGTCCGCTGAAGACCTTTCGGTTTGACCGTGCTTTTGGCCGTCTTATCCCCAACCACTCAACTCCTACCCCCAAACTGGGGTGTCAACCTCAGACTGTCCTGCCTCCTTGGGACATCACCCCCGACGTGAAGTGCGCTGTATGAATGCAAACGTGCATCGTGCACTATTGGAAAAGAGAAGGGAATTTCTCTCTCTCTCTCTCTCTCTCTCTCTCCCGGTGTTCTGGCCAACAATTCCCCCAAATAAAACTCGTCGCTCATTTCGCGGCTGTTTGTGGGGGACGCTGCTGCGTGATTGTTCTGTCGTGTTTCACCCACAAAATACACAGTCACTACACTTTACAGTGTATCCTGTGAACCATTTTGAGACGTCTCAACGGTACAATAAGTCGCTGTAATAATAATAATAATAATAATAATAATCCTTGCATTTGATATAGGGCTTTTCACGTCTTCTCGACGTCTCAAAGCGCTTCACAGGATAGACTGTAAAGTGAATTGACAGTGTATTTGTGGGCGAAACGCAGCAGCCGATGGCGCACAGCAGCGTCTGTCCCACAAACAGTCATGGATTAAGCCACCAATTTGTCTAAGGGATTATTACCTCCGGAAAGCGATCCACCAGTGTGTGTGTGTGTGGGGGGAGTGAGGGAACTCACCTAATGTTTCGCCCTGACCTGACTCGTCCGGGAATCGAACCCGGGTCCTCTCGCTTGCGAGGCGAGGGGTCTAACCCCTGAGCTACAGCCCTCCTCAGTTGATCCAACGCCACATCACATCGTCGAGACAACTCAAAGCGCTTCGCAGAATAAACGGCTGCCCGCAAAACGCACAGTCACTACTCTTGACAATATAGCCCGCCAAGCGACACGATAAGGCGCTGTATCAAATGCAAGGAACGTTATTATTATTATTTTGGAGTGGTGGGGGGGGGGGGGAGAGGGGTGAGCGGAGAAAGATGGACAAGTGCCTTTTGCTCGGTGTTTCAGATCACTTACTGTAACTTCCTCTCTGTCCTCCGGAGGTTTCGCCTGAAGGCAAGTATTAAAAATGCACCCTAGACGGGCGAAGCACGAAGTACATTGCCACGATGCACGCTGCAAGGCAGCTTTAAGTGCGGTATAAATATTAAATCAATGGCTGCCTTGGTTCTCTCTGCATCATCCGCCCTCTCCCCCAGCTCTCTGATAACTTTCTCTGCCAATTTAAGGGGTGAAAATCACTCAAAATTAATTGCCTCTCAAGCGCTTTGAGATTCCCCTCATAATGCCCGCTCGCTTCTCCAAACCTTTCAAACCAATAACCAAACAGCTCATCGGCTATTACAATAATAACGATAATTCTTACATTTGATGCAGTGCCTTCTCATGGCTCAAAGTGCTTCCCAGTATATACTGTAAAGTGTAGTGACTTTTGTGGGTGGAACGCGGCAGCCAATTGAGCACAGCAGCGTCCCACAGACAGTCGTGGATTGAGTGACCAAATCATTTAAAAAAAATTTTGAAGACACTTGCCCATCGCTTCGCCCTGCGCGGGAATCGAACCCGGGGCCCTTCGCTCGCGAGGTGAGCGCTCTAACGACAACGACAAAATTACATTTGATTAGCGCCTTTCACGTCGGGAGAACGTCCCAAGGCGCTGAGCGACAGGACTCCAGAACAACCTGATACCCGGTAATAGTTCATCGTGAAACCCTGACAACATCTGGAGCAACTTGTAAAAGAGCTGAGTAATAACCCAGTAATAATGCGGATTAGTATAATTTCATGGCTACGGTACAGAGTAACAATCAGTAATATTCGATAACAGAGTTAAACAATACCAGTGATATCATACAGACATTACTGGGTAATAATGACAGTAATATCTGAGTAACAGAACAGAGTACTAGCTGGAATATGCTGGTAACAGAGAAGAATAATGATACGCTGTGAACAGTATTAGGTATTGACGGATGTAGCAATGCTCAGACTGAGTAATAAAGCAGTCATAGCGCGGTAACATTGAGTAATAACAGCAGTGTTTGTGTGACAACGCTGAGTAATAATAGCAATCATAGCCTGGTGAAAACAGAGTAATAAAATCAATCAACCCCCAAGACTCTCCTCTTCGACAGTGCCTTCGGTCACCCTCCTACCCCCACCCTCCACCCCCTCCTGATCCCAACCCCCAGCTGGGGGTCCAAACCCCCGACTGTCCAGCGAACTTGGGACGTCCTCCCGACGTGAAAGAGACCGTGTGAGTGTCGCGGGTTGTTGTGTGTCGACCCCACGATAAGGTAGGAGGTTCCTACCTGGTCTGAGAGGCTGGTGCAGGAGCCCGTGAAGTCTTCTAGGTCTGATTTGGAGCTGCCATCGTGATCGTCGATCACTAAGTCGATTGGCATTTTGCCCTTCAAGCAGCTGATGTAGCGATGGCAGAAGTTGTCACACAACTCGTGTACCTGTGGGCAAGGTAGGAAACAGTCAGGGCGAGGGGTCAGGGCGAGGGGTCAGGGGGAGGTCCCGTAGCTCAGTGGTTAGAGCATCTCATCAGGTCTTCGAGACGTCTCAAAGCGCTTCACAGGATGCACCGTAACGTGTAGTGACTGCGTGTTTTATGGGCGAACTGAAGCTCGTGGTGACTTATCGCTTCACAGAATCATTGGAACAGAGATTACCGGGCGCTTCTGCACCACCTCCGTCACCCTCAGCATCTCTTACTCCTGGAGCTCGGTGGGGGGGGGGGTTAGACCCCACGCCTCGCAAGCGAGAGGACCTGGGTTCGATTCTCGGGCGGGTCAGGTCAGTGCGAAACCTTAGGCAAGTTTCCTTACTCGCCCCACACGCGCAGACACTCACGCGCGCGCCTCTGTTTACTCAGCAGTACGTAGGAACCCCCCCGTTAGTCGATTGTCAGATCGCCGTCGCTTCAAAGTAAATAAAAGTGATTCGGTCACTCAATCCAGGATCGGGCCAGTTGGCTGCCGCGTTTCACCCCCAAAATCAACGCGACGAGGCGCTGTGCCAAACGCAAGGGCTAGTAGTATTATTCCCGGACAGGCTGGAGGGGCTGAATGACCTGAACGAGCAGAGGAAGGTGTCTTTCCCGACTGTGCCAGATCCAGACGCCATCTCCAGGAGAGGAGTAGGTTCTACAGCCACACAAATCGGCCCCCGTCTCCCCAGGAAATAACAGTAACAGTCCCGGCGTTTGACCCGTGAAGCGCCTCACCCCGTCTTCGAGACGTCTCAAAGCGCTTCACGGGACGTACCGCGAAAATGCGGTGACTGTGGGATTTGTGGGAGAAATGTGACACCCGATTGTCCCACACTGTGTAGTCCCATTCTGCTCCACCTTCCACCCCCCCCCCACCGCCCCCTCCACGCACCACACACACATTATTCTCACACTTATATTGTGGAGTGCCGTAGCTCAGTGGTTAGAGCCCTCGCAATTGGCTGCTGGGCTTCGCCCACAAAAATACCGGGTCACTCCACTCTACAGTATGTTCTGCAAAGGGCTTTGAGACGGCTCGAAGACGTGACAAGGCGCTGCATCAAATGCAAGGCTTATTATTATGATACTTTTTTTATATTATTATCATTTTCAGACAGTTTATCTAATTCTGCCTCAAAGTATAACCAAGGTCAGGCGTTTCCACAACACTTGTGTAAAATAGAAATCCCTCGCACGCTCTCCCTTTGCTTTTTCGGTGATAATAACCTTAAATCTATACCCTCCAGTCACTGACTCATCGACCAGTGGAAATAATTTCTCCCCATTTATGTTATCAATCTCCCTCTTGGCTTTAAACCCCTCTGTCAGGGCTGCTCTCAACCTTCCCCGTTCTCGGGAAAGCAAACCTTCAATCATTTCTCACACGTAAAACCTCTCAACCCTGGTATCGACCGCCTCAAGACCTTCTTTTTTGACCGTGCACACGGTCACCTCCTCACCTCCCTCCCCCCACCCCGTCCCTCCCTCTCTCTCTCCCACCCCTCCCTCCCCCCTCCTTCCGCTACTGTCAAGTGCTCTGATCGGCTCACAGCCACCAGATAAAGAACTGATCGCTCGCTCCACGGCTGTTTGTGGGGGGAACCTCGCTGTTGGCTGCCGCGTTTCGCCCACGAAAGGCACACTCACTCCACTTTGCAGTGTATCCCGCGAAGCACTTTGAGACGTCGAGAAGAGCTGATAAAGCGCTATATCAAATGCAAGGATTATTATTATTATTATTATCATTATAATTATTATTGAGCGCTTTGGGATGTCCTCCTGAAAACGTGAAAATAATAACGACAGCAAATCCTTCCATTCACGTCGTCGAGACTTCGCAGGATACACTGTGAAGTGTAGTGACCGTGCGCTTTGTGGGCGAAAAGCACGGATTATTATTGATTTGACGTCCTCCCTACAAGAGAGGGACCCAGAGTCAGACCCGCCATTTCAACCAATGATTTATATCGGCTTCGGCATTACCCATTTGCTCTTGTGTTCCATTTGGAAAAAAAAATAGGATTTGCGTTATCAATCATTGGGTTTAAGATTGATGATGCTGACATTTTTCCCTATTGTTGAGTTAAATTATTCAGCAGAGAGAGATAAACCAGGAACAGAGCTATAAAAGCTATCCCTGCAATATACACACCACTCCCCTCACACCCACTCCCCTGCTCAGCACCCCCACCACCACCACCCCCCCACCCCCCCCAAAAACACGCCCAAGTCACAGCCAAGGGCACGGGCAAATTGAGAGAAAGGTCACGGGGGGGAAAGAGGAAGAAGCACTTAGGAGGTGGGCTCTCGGAGAAGGAATATGTATATAGAGAGAGAGAGACAGGCAGTCGTGCACTCACGGGCACACGCACGGGGGGGAGAAAGGGAAGACATTGAGAGAGAGAGAGAGAGAGAGAGTGTGTGTGAGAGAGAGAGGACAAGGGAAGGGAGGAATGGGGAGGAAGAGAGAGAGAGAGAGCACAATAAAGAGATGGGAATAGAGAGGGTTGGGATGGAGGGATAGAGATGAACAGATGCAGAAAGTGCAGGATTTGGCACCACTTTTTCCCCATTTTTTTTGCCCAGCCGGGTGTCTGATACACATGGAAACCCGTCACCGTGACCGGCGGGTGTCTGATACACATGGAAACCCGTCACCGTGACCGGCCGGGTGTCTGATACACATGGAAACCCATCACCGTGACCGGCCGGGTGTCTGATACACATGGAAACCCGTCACCGTGACCGGCCGGGTGTCTGACACACACGAGGGTGGGAGGGGGGTGGGCGTAGGAGGGTAACAGAAGGCGCAGTCGAAGAGGAGGGGATTGAGATGGGCCTTGAAGGAGGCGAGGGAGGGGGGGTGAGGCGGAGGGACTGTGAGAGGGAGTTCCGAAGCGCAGGGACAATTAGCACAGGGGGAACGTTTGGCCCAAACTCGTACCTTCTCCAGCTCTAGTAGATGAAAGCGAAGCACCTGAATTGCCTGGATCATCTGCGGGACAAAGCAACATGCGTCAGCCTCCCACACAAAACACACAGTCACTACACTTTACAGTGAAGTCTGTGAAGCGCTTTGAAACGCCTCGATGACGTGATGAGGCTCCGTATCGAATGCGAGGATTATTATAATGAGGCGGATGGACAACAATTGTGGAGTCCCTGTAGCTCAGGGGTTAGACCCCTCGCCTCACAAGTGAGGGAACCCAGGTTCGATTCCCGGGTGGGTCAGGTCAGGGCGAAATCTTAGGTAAGTTTCCTTACTCCCCCCCCCACACACACACACAGATACACACACGCCCCTTACTCTCGGAGTAAGTAGGAACCCGGTTGTTAGTCGATTGGCGGATCGCTTTCTGGGAGAAATAATCCCTCCGAAAAATAAATAAAAACGATAAAAAAAAGTCATTCGATCCACGACTGTTTGTGGGACGCCGCTGTGCGCAATTGGCTTCACCTCCAAAACTCGGTCAATTCTTTACATCGTATCCTGTGAAGCGCTTTGAGACGTCTCAAAGACGTTTTGGGGCGCGATATCGAATGCAAGGATTATTATTATTATTAATAAAAGCGACGAACCAAATTATCCAGCTCCGGATTGGAGGAAAAGAGGGGTTTCTCTGTCCGGATCTGGAAGCAGTCAGAGAACACAGTACTTTATGTCCACAATGGAATGAGAAGAGTAAGTAAAAAGGAACATTTAAACTAACAATTTCTAATAAGTGTTCAATAAATTTTGTCCGTTACTTTGTGCTGAGCTGATAAATGTGCAAACATTTGCACTCTCTCTCGCTCACTCTCTCGCTCACCCATTCACACACAGTCACTCTCTTTTACAAACACACACACAACCTTGCATAGCATCACACTCACTCTCTCACTCAATCACTCTCTCTCTGTCATACGCACATCTTGACACGAAATCGCATGCCTTCTCTCGCACAGCCACAATCACTCTCACACACGCGCTTAGAATTAACTAAAGAAATAAATCAATAGATAAATACTTCATAAATAATTCTGTACGTTTCAGTTTTTTTTTAATCCCCCCTCCCCCACCGCCACCACCCCGAAAAAAAAATGGGACGGCAACGCCAGCTTTGTTTAAGCCCTCGCTGTTGTACGGTTTTGTACACTCTTTGATTCTACTGTGCGAGGTGAGAGGTGTGCGCGAGAGAGAGCAAGAGCGTGTGAGCGAGTGTGTGTGATTCTATGTGGGCGCGCGTGTGTGCGTGTGTGATTGTGTGAGACAGTGCGTCTGATTCTATGTAGGCGAGCGTGTGTGTGAGCGAGCGTGTGTGATTTTATGTGTGCGTGTGCGAGAGAGTGATTGTGTGACAGATTGCCTGAGATTCTATGCGGTGCGTTTACGCATTAACTTTGCGCCCCTTAATTAATGCCTCTCCCGCTAAATCTGCGGCCAATTTCTTCTCCCCTCGCCCACCTGCTTGGCGAACATGGCGATGTCCTCGTTGAAGGAATCGGAGGAGCAGACGTCTCCGCCAGCGACGCCGCAGTCTCTGGGGGTCGAGGTTGCCAGCTCACACTTCTCAAACACCAGGGCGAGCAGAGGGAAGAGAGGGTGTCTGTGTGGGGAGGAGGAGAACACACATGTTGTATAGTTGTATCTTCGGGGCGAGGGGGGGGAGAGAGGGAAGGAAATTTCTCTCTCTCTCTGTGTCCAAGCCGACAATCTCCCCCCCAAATAAAACTGGGCACTCGTTTCAACACTGTTTGTGGGACACTGCTGTCCGCAGTTGTGCTACTGCCTCGACCTACAAAACACAGTCACTCCATTCCACAGTAAGTCTTTGGGAAGCGCTTTGGGACATCATTGTCCACACAAGATCAGCGGATTATTAGTAAGACGCAGAACAGGATCGGGATAAAGAAAAGACTGGGGGAAGAGTTAAGGTAATGGACGGAGGAGAGATTGTAGGGCGGAGAGAGAGAGAGAGAGGGGGGAGATAGCGAGTGGGAGCGGGAGAGAGAGAGAGGGGGAAGAGAGAAAGGGAGCGAGAGAGAGAGAGAGGGGGGGAAGAGAGAAAGAGGTGGGGAAAAAGAGTCACAAAACAGTTGGAAACACAGTGTGAGAGCTCAGACCTGTGAAGGAATGAATACGCCAGGCAGTTTGCCTTTCACGAGAGCTGGTACTTGCTCTATCCCCCACTGCCTGCAACTCCGCAGCTCACATCAAACGTGACCCAGGGCAACTGCTACTGCCCCACACGTCTCGCCCACAAAATATACAGTCACTACACTTTACGGTATAGTCTGCGAAGCGCTTTGAGACGTCTCGAAGACGTGATAAGGCGCTGTATCAAACGCAAGGATTATTATTATTATTATTATATGAGTAAGTATATTAGTGGAGTCCTGTAGCTCAGTGGTTAGAGCACTCGCCTCGCAAGCGAGAGACCTGAGTTCAATTCCAGGCAGAACTTTGGGCAAGTTTCCTTACTCCACACAGAGCCTAATGCGCCCAGCGACGTCCCAACAAACAGCCGTGGATTGTGTGACCAAATTATTATTATTTTTTGGAAGCGATTATTATCCCCGGAAAAGCGATCAGTCAATCGACTAAACAACTGGGCTCCTGCTCACTGCTGGGTAAACAGAGGCGAGTGTGTGTGTGTGTGCGTGTGTGTGCGTGTGTGGAGTAAGGAAACTTGCTTGACAAGTTTTCACCCGGACTCGCTTGGGAATCGAACCCGGGTCCTCTCTAAGCACTGAGCTACAGGCCTGCAGAATACGCTGTGAAGTGTAGTGGCTGTATATTTTGTGGGCGAAACCCAGCAGCCGACTGCGCGACAGCAGTGTGCCCGCAAACAGCCGTGGATCAAAGTGACCCAAATAACTTTTTTGGGTGCGTCCCCGTCAGGGGATGGGATGTGTTGGCGAGAGCCGAGAAGGTTGGCCGGCGCCTTTGCTCACGTTTTAGAAGAAGAGAGTCGAGGCTTAACTAAGGCTTGATGTCCGCCAAGCAGAAGCGACTGGGTATCGGAGCACCTTACCCGTAGATCAAATCCTTCTCCCGCTTGAGAATGTTGTTAATGGAGCCTCCGATGGAGGGGGGGAGGCCAGGCCGCAGAGAGGCTGTGCTGGGGGGATAGTGCTGAATGTCGTGTCCGTGACTCAGGTGGTGGGAGAGAGCGCGAGGCCCGTGTGCGTTGCCATAACCGCCGAGGGTTACTGCATCCATCCCGTAGTGGGACAAGTCATTGTACTGGGGGTTGGGAGCGGGGGGAGAGAGAGAGAAAGAAAAATTAGTAATAATCATAATAATCCTTGCAATTGACACAATGCCTTATCACATCTTCGAGACTTCTTCAAAGTGCTTCACAGGATACACTGTAAAGTGTGCTGTGTACTGACGAGGCGTAGTGACTGTGTATTTTGTGGGCGAAACGCGGCAGCCAATTGCACACAGCAGTGTCCCACAAACTGTTGTGGATTGAGTGACCAAATTGTTTATTTTTTTAAATTCTTTTGAAGGGATTATTACAGACTGTATGTAAATGTGTAGTAACTCAGAGACTGCCCTCAATGACAATTCTTCAAAAGTTATACCGTGTAAACTGACTCTCAGGCTCTGGGGCAGAGGGAGAAAGTTTGGGGAGACACAGAGAGACAGTGTGTGGGGGGGAGAGACACAGAGTGTGTGCGACACAGAGAGAGAGAGAGTGTGGGGGGTGGGGGAGAGAGCATAACGTGAGAGGGGAGTGAGAGAGACAGAGTGTGGAAAGGAGAGAGAGGCAGAGTGCGTGGGGGAGAAAGAGAGAGAAACAGAGCGTAGAGGGGAGAGAGAGACACAGAGTTTTCGGGGGAGAGAGAGAGAGAGAGAGAGAGAGACAGATTGTGGGGGGAAGAGAGAGACAACAACAACAAAATTACATTTATAGAGCGCCTTACGCGTCGGGAGGACATCCCAAGAGACAGAGGGTGAAGCCACAGAGAGAGAGAGAGAGAGAGAGAGAGAAGGGAGATAGAGTCAGACTTTGGGAATTCAGAAGATATTAAAAATACGTTGAATTCAAATGCCTCAAACGCCCAAGTGTTCGACTCACAGTATTTCAAATCGGAGCGTTGTGCCAGTCACATTCACTGTCTTATTATTATTATTATATTATTATTATTATTAATAACAAAAACACAAACGCTCCCCCAGAAAAATATTGTACTTAGAAAGCTACGCAGTCTCCCAAGTTACCGGAAACTGTTTCTCTCACTGTCACAAAAATAAATCAATCTCTGCAATTCAATCAAACTCTAAAAACCCATACACATACAGACACACACACACACATACAAACACACATATATACACACACATACGCACACACACATATATACACATACACACATATATATACACACACACACACACATATACACACACACACACATATACACACACACATATATACACACACACACATATATACACCACACACATATATATACACACACACACATATATATACACACACACACATAATAATAAAATAATAATCCTTTTGATATAGCGCCTTATCACGTCTTCTGGACATCTCAAAGCACTTCACCGGATATACTGTAAAGTGAATTGACTGTATATTTTGTGGCCTAATTATTCAAACGTACACAAACACGCAGTCACAGACAAACATACACACACGACATTAATTCCCTTTTTAATGCAGATGAGCACAAACAAGTGTGGGAGAGCAGAACCCCATCATTTTAAAATCTCTGCAAAAACATTAACTTGTGTAACTTCTCAGCAAATCAAACCCCCCCCCCCCACCCCCCAAATTAAAACGCTGCGCTTCCAAACCAGGCGCGGAGATAAATAAAAAAAATTACGTTTGCCAATCGAATAAAAAAGATAATTAAACTGCAAATAACTAGGAGGCAGCGATAGAAAGTGAATTCCAAACACAACAGTTGTAAGTAATATTGTTCTGATTAACAATTAACGTGTGTGGACAGACAGTGCCTGCGGGAGATCTGAAATTAACCAGACTTTTTCTCAGTAAAGTCTGTGAAAAAAAGGGAAATTCTTGAAAAAAAAAGTATTTTTTGTGAATTTCTGTGAATTTTCACCCCCGCAAAAAAGTCATGGCTTGTGAGAAGGGCAACACACACATTTATTCAGTCACTCACTCACTCACTCCCACACTGTAATTAAAAAAAACACACACCTTCATTCATTCACTAACAGACTCACTAACTCACACACTGTGATTAACACAACGCACTCACTCTCACATTGATTAACACAACACACTCACTCTCACACTCACACTGTAATTAACACAACACACACTCACTCTCACACTGTGATTAACACAACACACACTCACTCTCACACTCACACTGTGATTAACACAACACACACTCACTCTCGCACTCACACTGTGATTAACACAACACACACTCACTCTCACACTCACACTGTGATTAACACAAACCACACACTCACTCTCACACTGTCATTAACACAAAACGCACACATTAATTCACTCACTAACACGCTCATTAACTCACAATCACATTCACTCACTAATTCGCCAGCACTGGGATTAACCCAAACCCACACACACACATTCATTCACTAACACACTGTAATTATCACACCCACAGCACTGCAAACAGCAATTGCCTCGAGCCGAGTAAAGCTTTGCTCTGAATAACTGAATGACATCAAACCACAGATATATAAACACAGAGTGAGAGAGAGAGACACACACACACAACGTACAAACATAGCGACTCAGCTCCAGCTCCCGGGCCAGTGGACTCTGCTGCCTTCCCAAGCCGGCGTTGGGAGCTCTGCAGGCGGTCAGGGCAGTCAGGGTAGGAGGCGAGAGAGAGAGAGAGAGAGAGAGACACGGAGACACACACAGACGGACGGACAGACACAGAGAGAGAGAAAAACATACCATTTGAGCCATTTAGCTTAACAGCCAGTTTAAAGGGATTCTGGTCGCTATTTGCTCCCCCTCTGTTGGCAGCCAACACGTTGTGTTGTGTAACTCTCAGTCTCTTGGATGTCGGGTAGACTTCATTCGCTGGAATTGTAGATTTGAGTCAATTTGGGGGGCTGTTTCGGGGAGGGAGGGAGGGAGGGAGGGGGAAGAGATTTTTTTTTGGGGTTCCCTCCCCACAAAAAAGATTTTTCGGTGGTGGTGGGGGGGGGGAGAGAGAGGGTGTTAGAATCCCAAACAGATCAGATGAGTGTGACTGCAGACGCACACTGAAGCCATCATTAAGTCAAGCCTTCCTGCCCATCACTTGTCAACCAGTTTCAAGATGATTGATGGATGGAGATGAATGAATGAAAGGAATGAATTGATCTTTCTTTTTTTTTAACTCAGGGAAGAAGAGAAGGAGAAAAAGGAGAGGGGGAGAGGGGGGGGGTTGGGGGAGAGGAGAGGGAAGGAAGAGGGGGAGAAATCAGAGCTCACAGAAGATCAACAGATATTTAAAAGGCTTTTTCACTCCCTAACACACACAAGCAAAGCAAATAAATAGAGTTGTTGTCTTTCTCTCTCTCTCTCTCTCCCTCTCTCTGTCTCCCCCACTCCGGTCCTGACAGTAGGAAGAAATCCCCAATCACACTGACGTCTCTGGCTCCATCGCCTGTCAGTGTCAAAGCGTTTTCACAATAGAGCTCCCCATCTCCCAGTGCAAGGTGTCTGTCTTTCTGTCTGTCTGTCTGTCTGGGTGGGTGGGTGGATGGAGAGCTGAGTGAGGGTTTAATCTCTTCTGATATATTGTCCGAGATCTCTCTCTCTCTCTCTCTCTCTGCCTCTGCCTTCTTCCCGGTTCTCTGAGGCTGCGTACGAGACGTCTCGAGTCCTACATAGCAATAAGCAGGCAAGACATGCGGAAGCGCAAGGCGATTGATAATTCGTATCTCCTCTCTCTCTCTCTCTCTCTCTCTCCCTCCCTCCTCCCTCCCTCCCTTCCCTCCCTCGCTCTCTCGCTCTCTACGGCCAGTCTCAAAGCAGGCAGTCAGTCAGTGCTACACAGGCTGTGAATGGCTGTTCATATCAGGCGTAACCACTCCGCAGGCATTTGCCAAACAGCAAGGCGCCGTTAACTGTTTGCACACCGAAAGCTTCTGTGGACACATGTGTGAGAATCCGCTCCACCCACCCACCCACCCACCCACCCACACACACACACGCGCACAGTCACTCCACGTTACGGTACATCCCAAGTCGTCTCGAAACGCAAGGTTCCTCGGACGTGGTCTCCGATTCGCCAGCTTTTACTTTCAAAGAAGAGAACTGTGGAAAAAACACCTTCCGAGTCAACTCGCTCGATCAGTCCAGTCCGCTCACTCTTTAACCTCCTCGAATACGCGCGCGAAAAATTTGCCCACAGGATGCACAGTCGACTTCACTTTACGGTATATTCCGTGAAGCGCTTTGAGACGCTACCTTGCAAGTCGTTGTTGTTGTTGTTGTTGTTGTTGCGGTCAGCTTCCGCTTCAAAAAGAATTCTCCGGCTCTTCAAGTCTCGCTTCGAGTCACCTCCTGAAATCTCTCATCCGCGGTAACGGCCCGGGAATCCCACCGAACACTCGTGGGTTGAGTGACGAAGTTATTATTTTTTCAATGATCCCTTCAAAAAATAATAATAATAATAATATCGGGTCTTCAAAACGTCTCAAAGCGCTTCACGGGACACTACGCTGTCGTGCGGTGACTGTGTGTTTTGCGGGAGAAAACACGGCAGCCGATTGCGCGCAGCAGCGTCCGTCCCCGCAAACAGTCGTGGATTGAAGTGACCGATTATTTTATTTATTTTATTTATTTATTTTTTTGAAGGGATTATTATTCCTGGAGAAGCGATCCGCCAATCGACTAGCAACCGAGTTCCTACTTTCTGCCGGTAAACCGAGGGCGTGTGTGTGGAGTAAGGAAACTTGCCCAACATTTCGCCCCATCCGGGAATCAAACCCAGGTCCTCTCGCTTGCGAGGCGAGCGCTCTAACCACTGAGCTACGGGACACCACAGGATAACAGTAATAAATATTGCCATTTAAACAAGATTTACCAATTGTCTTAAGCTCTTTTATATTGCTGCCTGCAGCGATGTGCTAAGCACACCAACACCATTATATCTAATGAGCCACAGTAATAGCAAATATGCTCAGCGCTTAACACAGCTGAAAATTCAGCAAACGTTCCCGTCTTTTTCGTCATAAGAATAATTACAATGATAGTGTAATGTAATAGTAATCCTTGCCTTGTCGGTCTTCGACAAGTCTCGGAGCGCTTCAACAGAATACACCGTAAAGCGAATTGACTGTGTATTTTGCGGGCGAATCGCATCAGCACAAAGGCGTCCCCACACAAACAGTCGTGGACTGAGCGACCGAATTATTATTATTTCTTTATTTTGAAGCGATTATTATCCCCGGAAAAGCCATCCGCCGATCGATTAAAAACCCGGCTCCGACTCACTGCGAGGCAAACAGAGGCGTGTGTCGGACACGCAATCACGGAGGAACAGAGGCAGGAATATTCAAGGTCATTCAGCCCATCATGTCTGTGCTGATTTTGCCTGTTTTGCTAAACGCCTTTCTCCCCCCTGGTACGTAAACTTTATTTGCCCGTTTTAATGACTGATAATTATTTCTTCTAGCTGGTTTGTGTTGCATTTCCTTTGCGGTTCAAACCCAGTGAAAATTTCCACCTAGGATTGTGCTGAAGTGCCCATTAATCATGTCAGAGCCTTGGCAGGAGTCTCGAAGCAAGAATTTACATTTTATAGTGTCCCAGCCAGCAATCCCACAGATAAAATTGATTGTTCACTTCATCACTGTTCGAGGGAAATTGCTGTGTGCAAATTGGATGCTGAGTTTGCCCACAAATAGGCATTTGTTCCCCTCCCCCCCACACTCAAATTTATAGGCTGCGCATTGAGCTACAAAACAGTCACTACACTTTACTTTCTATATGTGTAATAATAATAATCCTTGCATTTGATGTAGCACCTTATAAGTTTTTCCGGGGATAATAATCCCTTCAAAAAAAAATGTGGGCAATCAATGCACCACCGTTTGTGGGGCACTGCTTTGCACAATTCGGCCACAAAATATACAGTCACCAGACTTTACACTTACAGTGTATTCTGCGAAGCGCTTTGAGACGTCTCAAAGACCTGATAAGGCGCTGTATCGAATGCAAGGATTATTATTATTATTACCATCATCATCATCATCATCACGTCGTCGAGACATCTCAAAGCGATTCACAGAAGAGAATTAAACAGAATCATGTTAAATCCTCTGAAGTTGTTTGGGGTTTCAGCCTGAAGTGAAAGGCACTCCATCGAGATTTCGCCTTCCACCTTCCTGGCGGTCGCATGCACATATGTACTGTATCCCATCATGTTATTTCCTAAAAGAAGACTCTCTAATCTGCGTTTGAAAGAATCAACACTTCCAACTTCAACCGTGTCCCTAGAGAGCCTGTTCCGCAGGTTCACTATTCGCTCACTGTAATAGTGTTTGTGTAGATTCGTTCTGAATTTCACCCCTTCAATCGCAGGCCGTGTATCCTCCGGTTTTACTATCCGGGTCGACTTGAAACAGCCTGTCGTGATATACGTTGTTTTGCCCCTTTAGAATCTTAACGACAGCAATGCCGTGGCCTCTCAATCTTCTCTTTCCCAGCGTGAACATGCCCAGGTTCCTTAGACCCCTTGTGGAACTCCACTGGTAACATCTTCCCAGGCTGATGACATTCCCGTACCACCACCCACTGGGTTCTTCTGGTCAACCAACTGCATATTCATTGTAATATAACTTCACTGATTCCTGCTTCTTTTTTTTTGCTTTCAGTACCAGCCTCTCGAGAGGAACAGCGTCAAAGGCTTTACTGAAACCCAGTTATACAACGTCCACAGCCTTACCCTTGTCAAGCTCTCTGGTCACACCGTCAAAGAAAACCAGTAAATTACATTGGCAAGATCTTCCCTTCATGAATCCATATTGGCTATGATTTACGATTTTGCAGTGTAGAGGGAGCTTTACTGTGTCTCTAACCCTGACCTTCTAGTTTCCATTAATAAATGGTATATAAATTCCATTATACCTTCACACCTCAGAAACCCAGTGGCAGCTTCTGAACTCCCAGGTCAGTGTCAGCGCGGGTCAGAGACAGAGTGAAGCTCCCTCCACACTTTGGGTCCACACTCCCCAGGTCAGGGGACACAGTAGAGACACAGTAAAGCTCCCTCTGCACTGTGCGTCCGTCCACACTCCCCAGGTCAGCGTTAGAGACACAGTAAAGCTCCCTCTACACTGTGAGTGAGTTACCAATTTTATTTGGGGGCATTGTTGGCCTGGACACCGGGAGAGAGAGAGAGAGACAGAGAAACTCCCTTCTCTTTTCGAATAGCGCTGTGGGAGATCTTTAACGTCCACCTGAACAGGCAGATGGGGTAGTGTCTCAGATTACCTCCAAGTTCCAACGAGGGGGCTTGAACCCACAAGCTTTTGACTCAGAGGCGAGCGAGAGCGAGAGAGAGAGAGAGAGAGAGAGAGAGAGAGCGCTACCGACAGAGCTGGGCAGACATGGATTGGAATTAAAACATGCCCAAAGTGAAGAGCGAGTCACGTATCAAAAAAAAACCTATAAATTGAGTCCCTAAGAGGACGTCAGTCTGGAGGCAACAACAGAGATCACCTCTGCCTCGAGCTCAGCTTCAGCGCTCTCTCTCTCTCCAGAACCATCAATTCCCGCCCAAACAATCCATTAACAACCACCGCACATAAATTGACTTCTTGACCTCAGGATTATCTGATTAATCTTGTCTTACATTTGTCCGTGAGACTGGGAGTGGGCGAGGAACTAGAACGGTAGAAGCAGGAGGAGGCCATTCAGCCCCCTCGAGCCTGTTCCGCCATTTTAAAAGGTTGTGGCTGATCTGTACCTCAACTCCAGTTATCCGCCCCCAAAACCCTTAATACCCTGACCTAACAAATATCGATCTACCTCTGTCTGGAAGATGTGAAGTGATCCAGCCATAATCCCCACAGCCTTTTGGAGGAGCGAGTTCCAGATTTCCACCAGCTTTTGTGTGAGAAACCGCCTCCTGATTTCACTCCTAAATGGCCTGGCTCTAATTTTAAGACGATGCCCTGTTTATTCTGGATTTCCCCCACCCACCAGAGGAAATAGTTTGAGCATTATATGAGCCGAGAGGAAACTGGAGTTAATGATGGACTCGGCCCAGACAGTCTGCTGAGCTTTATATAATAATAATAATAATAATTCCTACATTTGATCCAATGCCTCATCACGTCTTCTCGACGTCTCAAAGAGCTTCACAGAATATACTGTAAAGTGAATCGACTGTGTATTTTGTGTGGCGGCCAACACGGCCGCGGCTTACGCACCCGAGCACGCTCACACGCCCGCGCGAACATGACCCACACACGCACAACAAGCGCACAAACACTCCCACTCACTCGCACACCCACACACACGTGCAGACATGCATGCACACACACACGCGCGCATACGCACACACACACACACACACACGCGCGCTACATAGCGATCTCTGGTCCTCTCTCCCCCCCACCCCTAAAAAACAGTGTTTAATTTGTTTGTCCAGATGGATCTGCTGTTGGAACATTATTGGGCAGCTGTAAGTGCCAGTCTGCTGGCCATGAATCAGGGCAGTCAGGCAATGCTGATCCCACAGCTCAGCAATCCCCCAACCATCCATCTTCACAATGAAGTTTAATTCCAGCAAATGAATCTCCTGTGGGTACACTCAGTAACTCAATGTTATCCTCGCTCATTCACTGGCAGGCCGGTCAATACAAAACCATTTCTCTTCCTGTCACCAATCCCATTCGGAGCGCTCAGCAAGGACCTGGGAAAGGTAACCACTCTCCTGATTAAAACCACTCTTTACTTTATTTTAAAAAAAAACAACAACTTGCACTTTACCAGCGCCGTTATACACTCGCGGGAGAATATCTCAAGGTGCTTTTTTTAGGGAAAGTGATGAAATCCGAGCAACAACAACAACACGTGGCATTTATGTGGAGCCTTTCACATTAGGAGGGTGTTCCCAAGTTTGCTGGACAGTCAGGGATTGAGCCCGAGCTGGTGGTTGGGATCAGGAGGGGGTGGAGGGCGGGGAGGGTGGGGGTAGGAGGGTGACCGAAGGCGGGGTTGGTTGAAGAGGAGGGTCTTGGGTCGGGCCTTGAAGGAGGCGAGGGAGGGAACGAGGCGGAGGGACTGTGGGATGGAGTTCCAAAGGGTGGGGGCAGAGAGGCTGAAGGCCCAACTGTCGATGGGGGGGCTGGCCGGGCAGGGGGGTGACGTGGACGGGTTGACATGGGGTTGGCAGGTCACAGTGGTAGGGAGGAGCCAAAGCCGCGGAGAGCCTTGAAGGTGGTGACGAGGATTTTGAGCTGTATCCTCAGGGGGGTGGGGAGCCCGTGGGGTCAGGCGAGGGTGGGGTTGATGGTGCGGGAGAGGACATGAGCTGCAGAGTTCTGAAAGATCTGTAGCTTGTGGAGGGAAGAGTTGGGTGGGCCGACAAACAGGTGGGGGGAGATGGACAATCACAGAGGTGTTTTTTTTTAGGAGAGC